CCCCGTCTCTTATCAGAGTTCCATTCCCAGCCTCCTTGCTGGGACCCCAGCTTCCCAGGGGGAGGAGGGCTGGGCTGCAGTCCATCTGGGGCCCACAATGGAAGGGCCTGGCTGGAGGCCATCCAAGCAGAGAGCTCCTTCAGTGAGGCACCTTGCCAAGTCACGAGGGAGGCCGGACAGAAAGACCCCCGGGGGAGAGCAGGGAAGGCGCAGCTTGCAGGGCCCTGGGCCTGGCTGCCAGCCCTCTCCTCTCCCTACTCCTTTCCCCACTTCCCTTGCCTTAGCTCTTCCCCCCACTCCCCCCGCCCTCAGGCACACACAGCTGCCTGAGCCTTGAACTGAAGGTCCCTGGGTTGGCAGGAGCATGGGAGAGACTGAAGCAGGTGAAGCCTTAGGTGTCAGCTCCACAGTGGCCCACGCCAGTATGTGTCATAGCATGTTGCAGCACGAGGGCCCTGTGCAGGCCACGGCCCACGACCAGAGTGGACGCGGCCACGCACACTAGGTCCCCTTACCTGTGGAGTAACTGCTTTTCCTTCTTCCTCTGCTCACTTTCTACCAAACCAGAGCAATTAAGCGTCTTGCCCGTGGCTGAGTGCTTGGGGAAACGCTGCCCTTCATTCATTCATTCATCAATTATTTATGGACACCCACTCTGTGGAGCACAGTTCTGGGCCCTGGGAACACAAAGGCAGTGGGACATTCATACTGTCCTCTGCGGAGCTGACACTCCAGTGGGTGAAAGAGGTGATCAATAACCACATTTCCATCCAGGAAGAGAAAAAGTGGATGCGGAGAGGGGAGGTGATGGGGGTGGGGGTTGTTTGGCCAGCTTGGGAGAAGGACTGGGAGGGGGGAACATTGGAGCTACGTCCTGAATGTCAGGATCCCACCCGAGAAGATCTAGAAGAGCCTCTGGTGCAGCCACCAGGTAGGCAGAGTCCCAGGTGGGGAGTGGCAGGAAGGGCCATGGAAGGAGGGCTGGGGTGAGAGGAGAGGTGGGCAGACCGCACCCTCCATCGGGGGCCTGGAGGCTTGTGTTCTACTCCTAGTGATGCAGGATGGGGCTGGATATTCGAGACACTTCCATGAGGCAGAGGAGTGGGTGTCTACACAGCTGTGATCAGGTGCTGTGTGTTGAGGTGGGGAGAGTTGGGGAGAGGAAGGTGGGTAGGGATTGAGTGGAAAGATAGAACTGTGCTGACGAAGGAGGAGGAGAGGTGAGTGGCACCCCCTGGGGCAAGGTGGGGCGGCCATTGCCTAGGGAGAGCACACCGAGGCAGAGAAGACGGGCCCAAGCATGAGGGCTGAGAGGAGAGGGACAGGAGAGGAGGTGAGACAGGAGGGTGCCTTTGAGAAGAAGCTGATGGTTACAGGTGGTGAGTGAGAATGTGCCAGGCAGCTGCTGGCTCTGGAGGGCCAGACTGGACCCTGTTCCCCTCGAGTGATTTCTGGCATCTTCCAGGACCTGGCACACGGTGCACACACCCCAGATGGTGGCTTGCATGAAAGAACTCAGCACTCGGGCTGTCTTCCTGCCTCTGGTATTTGCTCCCTACGTGCAGAATACAGGGTCCAGAGAACTGTCCCACTGTCTGCTGTGCCCAGGCAGACCTAGGTGGCACACGCCCTGGTGGCACCACTAGCCCTGGCACCCTGCAGTGGCGTTCACTGGTATACAGGCAGGGGTGCCACATTTCCCTTCAGCTGTCATGTCGTTGCTGGGGACATGAGGGGATAAAAGCCATGGGGAATGAGGGCCAGGAGGGGCATCTAGCAGGAGGAAGAGAGAGAGGATTTTCAGTTCTTCCTGTGAACCGAGCAAGGGAGGCCGGACTAGCCCTTGCACCAAGAGACTGGGGAGGGCGGTGGGCAAAGTCATTCAGTGTCAGGGATCCCACGGCCCACTTCTCGTAGAGGTCCTCCTGCAGGCAAGTTCTGCCTGGGCCTTGGCCAAGTGATACTGATCTGGGTCCTGCCCTGTACCCTGCCCTCACGACCCTGTGACCTCTTGTTACCTATGTCTCTCTTCCTTCTGGCTCTGGGGACCTGCCACATCCTGTGAACCTCACCCTCATCCCCCTGCCCCTTAGATTCCCAAAGCTAAATGGAGGGGTGGCCTGCCTGGGGCAGGGCCAAGGGGCCACCAGCCTGCCTCAAGCCTCCTGCCAGAGTTTTCAGACTTGCCGCTTCCTTTTAGGGCACTGCTGCAGAAGATCTTAGGGACCCTGTGTCATTCTGGGGGTGAAGAGGCTGGGACCTCAAAAAATAGAAAACAGTCTCTGGACGGGAGGGGAGGAGAAGGAGCCTGTCATGGAGACAAGCTGACTCCTAAGTCTTGCCAAAGATACTAGACCTGACGGGAGAGGGCAGTGAGGCCCTTCCTCCCACCCTGCCCACCTTTCCTTCCCTCTCCTAGTTAATGAAACTTACTGTGCACCAGATGTGTCCCTCACAGAAACGGTGGGCACTAGGGACTGCCCTTTTCATACTGCACAGGAAGAAACTGAGGCCCAGAGACTTTAAGTCACTTACACGAGGTTGCACAATATGGTAGAGGCAGGAAAAACTCGAACCCAGCACTTCTGGGTGGTTGTTTGCAGTGCTGGGGACGGAACCCAGGGCCTCACACACGCTAGGCCAGTGCTCAGCCCCCGCCCCAGGACTTCTGATGGCAGCTCCTCTGCTTCCCTCACATCATCAGACTCAGGCAACCCTCACTCGAGAGCTGAAGAGCAGAGCGTCAGGAGGTCAGCACCTTGCTCCCCGCAGACATGGTATTGGGATGTCTCAATGGGACAGGCAGCCTCACGCCTCAGCACAGGCTAAGCAGGGTGCATGGCGAATGTGACCTCACTGACTGTTTTACACCCTCAGGCCCAGAGCACGTAGGTGCCAGGTGCCACTGTCAGCACTCGTCCTGCCTTCAGGGAGCGTGTAACCTGGGAAAGGGAGACGTGTGCTATAATGGGGTCCCTGGGCACCAAGTGACCTGGACGTGGGAGAGGTGGTCAGTTCCCATGAGCCTCACTGCTTTCCCAAAGGGATCTTGTCTGGAAGGTGCCACTCCTGCTGTGTAGCCAGCCTTGCATCCAGCTCCTGCAGATTCCTACTCCCATCTTCTTGTTTCAAATGGGATCATGATGCAGCGGAGGTTCTCAATTTGGAACGCTCTTGTACCTCCTTGCCCCAGGGAACATTTGATCGTGTCTTGAGACATTTTGATTGACAGAACTGAATAGGGCTGTGCTACCTCAGTATTCTTTGTGGCCACATAATAAACCAGTGCAAGCGTACCCCACCGTTTTTATTTAGGCATTTCTAAGCCTTTGCTATTGTAAACATTTATACTGCGTGTGGCATTCTTTTCCATATGCAGCCATGTGTCACTTAATGATGGGGATATGTTCTGAGACATATGCTATCAGGTGATTTCACTGTGTGAACATCCTGGGGTGTACTTATACAAACGTAGAGAGCATGGATCAGTGTGTTAGTCAGCTTTTCAATGCTGTGATAAAATGCCTGAGGACAACAACTTAAAGGAGGAAGGATCTATTTTGGCTCACGGTTTGAGAGGTCTCAGTTTCATTGTTCCTGGGCCTGGGGTGAGGCAGAGCATTTTGATGGAAAGTGGAGAAAGCAAAGCCACTCACCTTATGGTGGCTGGGAAGCAGAGAGGGAGAAAGGGGCCAGGGACAAGAAATATCCATTTAGGGAACATCACCAGTGACCCACTTCCTCCAATTTCCATCACCTTCCAAAATGCCCTCAACTGCGAACTGATCAATGGATCTATCCATTGATGAGGTTGAAGCCCCTACAATCCAGTCACCCCCCTAGAGTGCCACCTCTGAATACTACTGCATCAGGGACCAAGTCTTCAACATGGGAGCCTTTAGGAGACATTCCAGGCCCAAACCATGACACTGAACCTGGCCTGTATATGTGTGTGGCATGTGTACACATGCACATGTGCACATGCACGTGCACTAGGAACCAAACCCAGAGCCTTGTGCATGCTAGGCAAGACTCTGCCCTGGAGCTATTCCCAACCTGCTTCTTTTTTGGGGGAGGGGGGCGGTGGAGCAGTTCCAGTGATTGAACTTAGGGGCACTCAAACATTGAGCCACATCCTCAGCCCATTTTTTGTGTTTTATTTAGAGACAGGGTCTCACTGAGTTGCTTAGTGCCTCATTTTTGCTGAGGCTGGCTTTGACCTCAAGATCTCCTGCCTCAGCCTCCTGAGTCATTGGGATTACACAGTGCCCAGCAGCATATTGTCTTAAAGTGAACTTATTTTTTTTAATAATTGGAGTACACTCTAAAATGATGATGAAAAGGTATAGTAGAATATAACCCTATGGCAAATTTTATTATCAAGCGTTATGTACCATCCATAATTGCATTCACTTTTATCCAGCTGTCAGCACAGGTTTGCACCAACACAAATACCAAGTAATGCATTGACATCACCACAGCTATGATGTCATTAGGCAATAGGGATGTTTCAGCTCCATTAAAATTTTCTAGGACCACCATTGCATAGCCAGCTGTCCTTTATCTAAATGGCATATGCTGTAGGTGGCTGTACATGCCTTTGAGCTGTGAGATCGAGGGAGTAGCTGAGAGGGGTGGGGTGATGAATGGTTTTGTTAGCTTTTCTTTTTTCTTTATTTTTTTTTGGGGGGGGGATATTGGGGATTGAACCCAGGGTCCCTATCCCTGCTTATCAGCATTTTCAGTGACCTATTAAAGACTCCTCAAGTGTCCTGAGGCATAATCTGTTTCAAGAGTGAGTCTGGGGCTCAAGAGTGAGTCTGCCTGGCAGGGCCAGGATCCTCAAAAGTCTGGTGGAGAGGCGTTCTCTGTGTCCTCCCCTCTACAGACACGGTGCCTGACCACCTGTCTCTCTGTAGGACAAGGGTGTTTCCCACCTGAAGACCACAAGCCAGGTCCTGAGTGCTGCCCCTGAGCTGAGTACCTGCGGCCAGCCTGTCCCCATGGAGAAAGGACTCACTTTGCCCCAGGATTGCCGGGACTTTGTGCAGAGCCTGAGGATGAGGAGCAAATATGCCCTTTTCCTGGCTTTTGTGGTGGTGGTTTTTGTCTTCATTGAAAAGGAAAACAAAATCATATCAAGGTGAGGGATACGATCAAAGACAAGTCTCCCTTATCAAGGTGGGATGGCTGGGGACAGGGGATGGGAGGGCTTCCTGTGGACTTGCAAGTGCCTCCCTTCAACAAGTGATCACCAGGCCCCTCTTGTGGCCCAGGCAGAGTCCCAGGCACAGCAGTGAGCCCTGGGCTCTGGACTTGGGCAGCTGGGTTGGCATGCTCATGCTGCCACTTCCCAGCTGTGAGAGCGTAGATGAGAGATTTCACTTTTCTGAGTCCTGGATTCGTCTTCTGTAAAATGTGACTAGGAGCTGCCTTGTTGGAAAAGTAAATGAGAAAAATGTATGAGCATTTGGTGCACCACCTGGCACTCGGTCCATGTCTGCTGTTTGCTGGCTGTGACTATGTATTGTTACTAATTGGTTTCCTGGCCTAGATGATGGCTCACATTCGCAGCACAGCCCCTATACTAGTCTTGGTGTTATGGGTAAGGGTGAGCCCACGGGAAGGCAAGGTCCTGGTGTGGACACTCTGGTAGGGCTGCCAGTTTGTGTACCACTCAACTCCAGAGCAGGGTCCCTTAAATAGGCTCCTCTGGGAATCCCACGCCTGCCCCAAGTTCATAGAGCATTACTGTGTGCAGAGGTCCCGCTAGACACACGAGGGTTTCTGGGACCTCTTCCCCTCCCAGGCACAAGCCCTGTAGGAAAATCGCAGTTCCTGTGCATAAGGACCTGGCCGAAGCACACTGTCAGTGCCCCTCCTGGGTGGCTTATTATTGGATGGTCCCAGTTCATGTTTACTGGTCTTACTGAAAATCCCTGGACCTCTCCACCCGCACATTGGCAAGCCAGAAGTGCCAGGAAATGCAGGTTCAGAGCTCTCGGGTCAGACTGAACCTCATATTTGCCTAGGGTTCCCTGCTCGGTAGCAGTACACACTTCACCTACATCTCCTCCCACCTCAGTTCTTCTCTGTCCTGATAAACTACACTCAAATCCTGGCCTCAAAGTCTGCTTCTGGGGAAACCCAGCTAGACACACTATTTGTTGGTGATGAACTGGGAAGATTGCCTAGAATTGCATAGGCGCACCCCCTCCCGACAAATCAGGCACTGACCCTGGTCTCCCTGTGATCTCCACAGAGTCTCTGACAAGCTGAAGCAGATCCCCCAATCCCTGGCAGATGCCAACAGCACCGACCCAGCGCTGGTCTTGGCCGAGAACGCGTCCCTCCTGTCCCTGAGTGAGCTTGACGCGGCCTTCTCGCAGCTGCAGGGCCGCCTGCACAACCTCAGCCTGCAGCTGGGTGTGGAGTCCATCGGGGAGCAGCAGGAGGAGGAGCCCTCGCAGCCTGCCAGGGCTGGGCACCGTCGCCACGTGCTCCTTATGGCCACCACCCGCACGGGCTCCTCCTTCGTGGGCGAGTTCTTCAACCAGCAGGGCAACATCTTCTACCTCTTCGAGCCGCTGTGGCACATCGAGCGCACGGTGTCCTTCGAGCCGGGAGGTGCCAACGCCGCGGGTTCGGCGCTGGTCTACCGCGACGTGCTGAAGCAGCTCTTCCTGTGCGACCTGTACGTCTTGGAGCACTTCATCAGTCCCCTGCCCGAGGACCATCTGACGCAGTTCATGTTCCGCCGAGGCTCCAGCCGCTCCCTCTGCGAGGACCCGGTGTGCACGCCCTTCGTCAAGAAGGTCTTTGAGAAGTACCACTGCAAGAACCGCCGCTGCGGCCCCCTCAACGTGACGCTGGCGGCGGAGGCCTGTCGCCGCAAAGAGCACATGGCCCTCAAGGCCGTCCGCATCCGGCAGCTGGAGTTCCTGCAGCCGCTGGCCGAGGACCCCCGGCTGGACCTGCGCGTCATCCAGCTGGTGCGCGATCCCCGGGCCGTGCTGGCCTCCCGCATGGTGGCTTTTGCTGGCAAGTATGAGACCTGGAAGAAGTGGCTGGCGGAGGGACAGGACCGGCTGCAGGAGGAGGAGGTGCAGCGGCTGCGGGGCAACTGCGAGAGCATCCGCCTGTCGGCCGAGCTGGGCCTGCGGCAGCCCCCCTGGCTGCGCGGGCGCTACATGCTGGTGCGCTACGAGGACGTGGCGCAGCGGCCGCTGCAGAAGGCCCGCGAGATGTACCGCTTCGCCGGCATCCCGCTGACCCCGCAGGTGGAGGACTGGATCCAGAAGAACACCCAGGCGGCCCTCGAAGGCAACGGCATCTACTCCACACGGAAGAACTCCTCGGAGCAGTTCGAGAAGTGGCGCTTCAGCATACCCTTCAAGCTGGCCCAGGTGGTGCAGGCCGCCTGCGGCCCTGCCATGCGTCTCTTCGGGTACAAGTTGGCCCGGGATGCTGCCTCCCTCACCAACCGCTCATTCAGCCTGCTGGAGGAACGCGGCACCTTCTGGGTCACGTAGGGAGCCTGGTGCCCCGTGGACCCCTCCTCCTGAAAGGTCTGCCCGCCTTCCTCACACCCAGGCCAGCAGGGAGACGCATCCCTGGCAGAGGGCAGTGGGAAGCTGCCCTGAACGCAGGCAGCCCCTGCTGTAGCACTAGGCCCCAGCCAGCCAGTTTGCTCAACCCCAGGTCTCCTGCCGAGAACAGGACAGTACCTTCCCTCCAGGGCCTGCAGTCTCCTGAGCAGACCTCAGCCTATTGGCAGGTCCCCCCACCCGTCTCTCCTGCACACACAGAAACGTACAAGAAAAACGCATTAAGGCCTGGGAACTCTTTGGGCCAGGGGCCAAAGATTTAACAACCAGCAGGGGCGTGGGCCCTGACCAGTTCCTCAGAACTCCTGTTACATGCTCAATGTTAACCTTTTCCTTTCTGGATTGTGGGGAAGCCTGGAATCTGGGTGACTCCTTGGGGAGGAAATAGAGCAGCCCAGAGGTGGGGTACTGGAAGCTCATCAGGTGACTGTGTAGTTTACCATCCAGTACAAAATGATCTGCTCTTTTAATAAATAGGATCGTGGTGCTGATTCCTGATGAATGTCAGCCCTGCACAGAACTGCAAGACACACACAGACCTGCACACGGACAGAAAAACATCATCGAACAAGTCCACGTGCACGAGTGTGTATAGAAAGGTTTCCCCATTCCTTTATGCCCACAGGATTCTTCTGTGTTGCATCAAAGAGAGCCCTTTGATGACATTCTTAGGATTATTTTGAGGGACAGGGGAAGGAAAAGTGTTCAAGGGCAATGACCATTCCCTGACCAGGTGTGGAACTGAACGGTGGACCAAGAACTGCCGAGCCCACCACCCCTGCCTGCTTGGAGCTTGTGCCTACCTCCTACGACCTGTCCATGTCCCACGGCTGGCAGGCAGGACATTTTGAGAAGATGTGGCTGGTCCTCATGTGACTGCAGACCCAAAGCCCCATCTTGCCTGGATCCCTGGGAGCATGTCTGTAGTTGAAGGCTGCCTTGGGCCCAACTGGCAGAAGCAACTTTGGTCCCTGGAGGTAAAAGACAAGTGACAGTTCCTGCCATTTCCAGCCAGGCCTCATCTGGAGCAGGGCCAAGAAGTTTGGAGTGTGGTGGCAGGGAGAAGTCCCATCAGGACACATTCCTCCCCTGAGGAGCCTGCCTGCTCCCTGGGTGGAGGGAGGTCAGCCAGCTGGTTGCCATGGTTACAACTAGTGTCGAAAGGAATGCCTCCTTTAGGGTTCTGAGAAGAGTCTTGCCCAACTCAGGATGGGCTGGGTGTTTTACTTAGGGCTTTTTAAGTTATTTATGGCTTGGTGTCTTTCTTGTTTTGTGGCTGTTTTTGGTTTTGTTTTGCTGCTGACAAGCTGTCTGGACTTGAGGGCCTGGTGGGGGAGGCTGGGAAAACCAGCAGGGAGCACGTGTCTCCTGGCAGAGGGAGAGGGGTGCCTTCCCCAAGAGGACTGGAGACGAGGTGGCACACGGCAGCCCTCAGTGCCCCATGGGATTTTCTGTGTGAGCCCCACATAGAACAAATCTCAGAAGCCACCAGTATTCTTGCTGGTGTCCAGGGCAGTGTGGAATGAGTGACAGCCCTCGCTCCCTCCTGGAGAAGAGGCTGAATCTTATCCCATATTCCTAAGGGGGACAAGGACTCAAACCTGTTAGCAAGTGGCTGAACGTAGAGTGCAAACCCTGCCCCACTCCCACTCCAAGCCCAGGAGCAGAAGCCAGGATGGCCTTGGAGCTTGCAGAAGCTGCCCGGTTCACAAGGACTCCCTCCTCCTTCATACTTCCTGGACAGCCTCTTCTCCAGATACAGCCTCGTTAGACCCAAGGGCTGAGTTGGTTTCAGTAACACCATCAGGTCGCCAGAAAAGCACAGCATTGGAGTCCAGCTGGAGCTGTGGAGGAAAGGCAGAGTGACCTGGCAGGAAGCTGCCCTGTGTGAGGATGCAGACCATCTTGTGGGATTCATTATAATCCACCTCTTTGAGCCACTGAGTCACCAGCACCATGGACTTCTGTCATTCGAGCAGCCCTGTGCTTTAGATGTTTTTCCCCCTCTGCTTTAGATGTGCTGGTCCAAGAACGAGTTGGGTAGGGCGCTGACTCTTATTTGGAGTCCAAAGGGACACCAGCTCTGGAAACTTCATCGTGGGGCTCCGTGGGGCCCAGATGTTTCTTGCAGGCCCAGGAGTGCCAGCTGCTCTTCCCAGCCCCCATTCTGTTCCTTGAAAGGGTGGTGGGGAGGGATACCTCTATGTGGGGCTCTTCCTAGGGGTCCTCTTGATTGGAAAGCAGACTTCTTCCTTCCTCCTGCACCAAGGCCTCGTCTCAGCTCTCTGAAGACAGTACCAAGAATGGACCTTTAGGATTCTCAGGACATTGACAATGTGTATACTGCAAGTTGACTTAATTTATTTATTGTGTGAAAAGAAGAAACAAAATATTATTTGCAGGGACTCAAAGCTAAACCCAAATCAAGACAGAAAAATAATAATAATAATAGAAACCACCCACGCCCCCCACACACAAGGACACCCACAGACAGTTCTAAAGGCAAGAGGGGACTAAGTCAACATGCCAGCAGACAGTGGCCCCAAGGTACTGTTTAAGGAGGTTCCTTAGTTTTTCTCCTAGGGATTTGAAATGTGACATGAGGGCCCTTTCTGGTTGCCTTTGCCCAGGTATCTGACACTACTCTAGTGGGTGGTGTGGCCTTGACACTGATCCCCCTGGGGCTTGGTGATGCCATGGGAGCGCTTCTTGTTTGGGGAAGGTCTATGAGGTTCACTGTTGGCTTCCCACTCTGTGGACATGGCCGGGGTTGTGCGTTTGAGGTCTTCAGCACGGAGCTGGGAGGGAGAAGGTGGTCCAGCTGGTATATTGGGGCAGCTGCTGCCCAAACACCAAAGAGCAGAGGGTGCCCAGGAAGCCCATCACAGTGGCATCTTTTCCCACCATCCCTGCTGTCTGTCGACCATGGAAGGAGCTCCAGCAAGAGATGACAGGTGCACCTGGCCTGAGCGATAGGGAAGGAGATAGAAGCACCCGAAGTCTGATCCAAACCCCAACAGTCTCTTCCACCCTCCCCCATGCTATGACCTGTTTGAGGGGTCTGTCCCGTGAAGGACCGGAGCAGAAGACAAGCTGGCTGCCTCCTCAAGGCAGTCCACTCGCACGCCCACCCTAAAGGCTGAAAGTGGAGGCAGGTCTCAAGAAAGGGAGAGAGAGGGGTGGGTGGGGCTGGAGGACAGATGTTAAAGACGCCAAGTGGGTCCTATTGATCTGCAGAAGCTGGAAAAAGGAGCATCCACTGAAATCAGGAGCCCTGGATGGTGGATTCGTTGTGAAGCTCCTCAGGATGTGGTCCAGCGAGAAGGGAGGGAGGAGGCCCGGGTTTCCTGAATGCCGCCACATCCCCCGTCAACTGCCCACAGTTTCAGAAATAGTGGAAGTTATTCTTTACCTCAGACGCATAAAGCAGAACTGGCAACTTCAATGTCTCAAGAGCTAAGACCTTTTCACCTAGTGTCCTCTGGTGTCCTGTGAAGGACAAGTGGGTATCTTTCCAAGGATACAGACCTGGCGGCCTCCTGATGGGCCTAGCTCATGTTGCAGACCAGTTTATTGGCGGGATACAGTTCTTGCGTAGCCTCTCCCATCTCTTTGGCTGGAACTGGGCACCCTGGGATGTCTCTGTCTTAGTTGAATATTCTGGGCCTGGTTTGCTCAAGTCCCTTGTTCCTTCTGGGATCCACCAAACTCTGCCAGAACCTGGGTCCAGTATCATGGCCTGTTAATTGTGTCCACGCATTTGTATAGGACATCCTGCTCCACCTCTAGTGCCCCTCCCCCACAGTTCCCAGCCCCTTTGCCATCATTGTCCCAGATGTCCTTGTCGTGGCCACAGACAATCTGCCAACTCCTGGAAAGGCCAGGGCTGCCCTTCAGACAGCTGGTGGTCACTGGCGCTCAGGGTCTGTTTTGTGGAATGGAATGTGAACCCATCGCCCGAGGGCTTACTTGACTTATTTAATTAAAGATGAAAACATGCAGTGAGAAAATTCTGCAGCGTTTCTTTTGCATTTGTTCTCGGCAGCCATTGAACCATAAAAATTAACAGGAAAAAAACACTAAGCAGTAGGTAAGACATGACTTCCAGCATGAAGCAGGGCAGGGACACCTGCTGCCCATTCCCACAGGGTAATAGAACAGAGGGCATAATGAATGCCATGGTCCCGATGGCAGAGTCGGCAGTGACCGTGTTTCGAGGAGCCAGCTGCAAGGACAAGGCCTGAGAGATCAACGCCCAGGTATTATGGGATAGGAATAGGAAAATCAGGCTAGCCGTCAGGGGACCCAGTTTTGCTATTAGCTGGCCGTAAAACCTTGGACAAGTCACTTCCCCCACCTGGGTCCCAGGTTCCTTTTGGAATGAAGGGTACATGTAGTTTACGATTTTCCAAAAATACCCTTTTACAAGGTTTCTTGAGATTTCATTCTCCTTTCAGCTAAGAAATACAGTGGTGTCCTTTCAAATTGCAGTGACTTTGCTGTATAGGTTGTAACAGCTCTAGTGGGAACAAGGCTGCAGCCCTGTGTTAGCTTTCTGTTACTTTCTGTAACAAATACCTCCAGAGAACTTACAAAGAGAAGAATGTGCCAGGAGCCATGACTGTAATCCAGCAACTGAGGAGGGTGTAGCAGGAGGATCCCAAGTTCAAGGCCAGCCCCTGGCAACTTAGACCCTGTCTCAAAAATGTAAGGGGCTGGAGCTCTGGCTCAGTGGAAGAGCACATGCCTAGCATGTGAGGCCCTGGATTCAAACTCCAGCACCACCAAAAAAAAAAAGTGTATCAAAATAAAACTTTAAAAGGCTACGAGTGTAGCTCAGTGGTGGAGCCTCTCCCACCCTGGATTAAATCTCCAGTATCATAAAAAAAAAAAAAAAAGACATTTATGTAGCCCCACAGTTTTGGATGTTTCAGTCCAAGATTGGGCAGAACCATTGCTTTTAAGTCTCTGGTGGTGGGGGAGGGGTGGCACTTCATGGCAAGAGTATGTGGCTTTCA